CTACAACAATTTGATGACAGACTTCCACAACTTCGCAAACGGGGCTTCTTGCGGGAGGTCTCTCGGATTTCCTCATCCCGCGCTCTCCGGGCGATAATTCCCAGGTCGCAGCGCAAAGCGGAAACTACTTACATTGTAACGGTGACCCTGAACACTTACACTAGACAGCTAGGGTCTTCGACGAGCCAAACCCGGTAGACTTCCCGGCTTGGCCGTGGCCTGAGGTCAGGCAAGGCACCATCACCATTCATGTCGAGCGCTTTGAATATCTCCTGGCAGAGATTCCAGCCATTTGAATTGGGGCGGCGAATCTGCAACACTGTAAACAAGCAAAGAAGTTGTGTACATACCCATATATAAATATAAATAAATAAATAAACAAATATACACATACATACATACATACGTACATACGTACATACATACATACCTACATACATACATACAAGCCCCGAACGTGATACCAGAAAAGATACTTGAAGCAACCAACGCTTGCAGCTAATCCGTCCCGTGCGAATTGACGCAGCCGCGCTTTCTGAGTGAATGCCGCGACAGTAACTTTGCCACTGTGCTATGACTTAGTTACCCTAGCTGATGGCAATGGATGTCATGCTGCAAACTGCGCTGAAATGGCGGACTAATGCAGACTGGGAGGATGGATGCCGCCAAGCGGTGCCAAAGGAACATCATTAAGTTGAGTTGCCATGCCTGGACATGCTCGCACTAGTACATGACGAGCAATCAAGCATTGCGGCATTCAATGATAATTTCGGCCTGATGCAACTAACTGTACATATGGTTGATATTGTGGCACGCGACACCACACATTAAGAAGGCAAACCCTGAAAACCTTCGAGTGGAACTAAGAGTGACCAGCAAAGGCTCAATGGCAGTATGACTCTGCGAAATTTGGCTCCCGCATGGCATGTCCGGAGACTCACGTGGCAGGTTGCACAAGACTACTTGGATCACGTTGCAGAGCAAGCCTTTTGCCAAGCTGCTAGCCCAAAACCGATACAGTGATCCGAAAGCAGTGATTATGGCTCCCGCAGGTCTGCGATCTCGGCTTCGCTCATCTGGGAGGCGATGATGTTCAAGGCCGCTTTCTTGAGCTTGTTCTTGGACCTCGTCAGATACTTGCCACTTACAGAGTTGAAGCCCACAACGAATGATGAACAAGTTTCTGCATACACGGTACCAACATAAAGTAGAGGCAATGTAACCGATGTAGTCAGCAGGAACACACGCACGCACGCACGCACACACACACACACACACACTGTATGTATGTATGTATGTATGTATGTATGTATGTTTGTTTGTATCTATGTATGTCTATCTGTATTGCATGTATGTAGGTCTGTATGTAAGTATGTACGAATGTATGTACGAATGTATGTATGTATGTATGTATGTATGTATGCGAACATGCACATACATGCTCGTGTACATAGGCATGCACATGTACATGCATATATGTGTATATATGCGCATGAATAAATACATAATTACACAAACAAATAAATGTATGTATGTATGTATATATACATACATAAGCATACACACATTTATGCATACACGTCCGTATACATGAAGCCTTTGCATAAGTATGTATGTATACATACACACATATACATACACATCTATTATACATATAAATATATATATGTGTGTGTGTACGTACATATGTATGTATGCATGTATATGTACATAAACATCAGAACTGCTGCAACAACACAGCCGTCTTAGATGGATCAGCAGTCCGTGTCTCAAGTCAGGTGCCTGAAGCTCTTCAGGTTGTGCATGATACGATCCTGCGGCGAGGAAACGATGGATTCTGGATGGCCTGGAGCTTGTTCTCATATCCACACGTGCGTGTCCCAGCTAGAGATGGCATGTCAAGCTGCCGGTGACTCGCACGCAGAAACGCATGCAAGCGTAAAGAAGCCCCACGTTAACAGTTGCACAGGAGCAGCCCAGAAAGCTATAGTGCGGTTCAACAATTAGAGCGCCGGGTATAGTTAAAATTCCGACCGCCCGGCAAACATGCAGGCAGTCCTGCAAGCAGATGTTCTCTGCTTTGGGTGCTCGCTCTTTGATCCAAACATCCTCAAGCACGAGTGAAGTCCAGTTAAGTTCGGCATGGCATCGACAGTACCACATGCAGCTTGTGAAGATTTTGATTTCCTGCAGCACAAGCTCACATTCTCAGCTCGCATGTGGGCCAGTCATTCAAAAAGATGACACTTACACAAGCGAGTGTGAGCATCGGGGCATGCTCTGCCAATGTGTAGCGCTGCACTCCCAGGCAGGTACTTTACCACGACACAGTTCCCGAAAACCTAAGCCATCCTAAGCTAAGCAAACTCCATCTTTGAAATCTTAAAACTCTCCTAGGCTTTGCTGCGACGCGCCGATCCTCCACACTGAACATTGTTGCACAAACCCCTGCGCCTGCAGCGCCTCCTCAGCCGTGTAGCGCGACTCGGGCTCGAACTTGAGCAGCATTCCTGAGATCATGCGACTTTCTTGCAGCGATGCCTAAACAGAGATGTCAGACTATGATGATAAAGCTGTCCTGGCGCAGGAGGATCTCGAAACGGGAAACCCCCAACATGGACCCGCACATTTTGGGTCCGTTTGGGGCGTGTGTCTTACGGACGCTGCTGGAGGGGACCACTCGTGGAAAGAGGTGCGAGCAATCATTACATTCAGATGCTCTGATTATGTTTCTTCTTGCCATGAGTGACCTGAAGTAGACTATGCGTAATAAGGAAGCTACGAGTTCTCCTACTGATCTTTCCAATACTGTCCTGGTGCTGAATTGCCGCTATAGGTCTGGCTCTTATTGCTTGCTCTTATAGTTCTTGCTCTGCAACACAGCCTTTAGCCTAGATCTCGAAACCGCACTCCCCATCATGCACGAGGCACCCAACTCCTAAATGCTGGCCTATACCGTCCTAGAAATCGAAGATCCTTGCAAGTTCGTTTGCAACCCAAAGCACCAATCAGCTTCTTGGCATCTGCGGAGATGTGCCGCCAATACTTCGGCTCGAACTGATAAATGCCTTTCCGCACCTGAGGGGCAAACTATGCAACATAAGATTACGGTACACTGTTAAAGTATATTGCTAAAACACTTTGTTATGGCCTCATCATATGTTCGTGCTTGTGCATGTTGGGCCTCTGACACTCTGGTGTTCAGTTTTCTCCTCCATGTGGGGGTTTGTGCTAGCCACAATGCAGTCCCTGGAGCTTAGCATGTGGGCTTTGGGGCTTCCGAACTGACTGGTTGGGGCTTGACCTCTTGCTTCGTCATATTCTGAATGCTCGGTATAAATCTTCAAGCTCTCCACGATGAGTGCTGTGAATGTTGTACATCAACACGTCGAACTGGGGAAGTAAACAATCAATCGCCATAAGCGACCCGTGCGCATCTACAGAAGCAGAGCAAACAGGACTAGCATTTAAAGCACGATTGGAAATTGGAAAAACAAACGCTTGACGATAGTAGCCAGTAGTCGTACTCGTAGTTGTCGCCGTAGTACTAGCAGTAGGAGCAGAATAGTAGCAGTAGTGGTGGTGGTAGTGGTAGTGGTAGCGGTAGCGGTAGCGGTAGCGGTAGCGGTAGTGGTAGCAGTAGCAGTAGCAGTAGCAGTAGCAGTAGAAGTAGTAGTAGTAGTAGTAGTTGTTGTTGTTGTGGTAGTAGTAGTAGTAGTAGAAGTAGTGGGAGGAGGAGGAGCAGGAGGGAGGAGGACGGGAGAATTAGTCTATCAAGAACGGTGCTGTGCGTATGGTTTCGATTTTTGGCAGAAATCAAAATTATGCTCGTCACTGTGATGGTGTTCACTAATGTTCGTACTACACTCATGCTTGGTATGTACCATGAGACATAGGAAAAAGCGAAATCATCGAACAGCTGGCCTTGCTGAGGACCTCCTGGTCAGTCTTGCCGTAGAAAGGCGGGTACCCGCACAGCCTGTTGCAAATGCCGCTGCAAACGCTAGAGTTATGTCCGGACACGGACAGTTAAACTCTCTGTAAGGATGTGCTGGACATCGAAATTTGTACTGTTCACTGCTGCGGCGGCGGTTGCTGCACAAACCGTAGCACGGCCTGGAATAGCATCCCAGTTGCTAATTGCTATGGCTGCTATCATTGCCGTTTCCAACATCTAGTGCCATCCGGCTCCCAGTGCTGCCATCGCCTTCCAACTATTTATATGTTCCTGGTACGACTCTCGGCCTCGGTCTCATTACAGTGTCGATGGGTGTGAACCGTTCCATTGTAGCAACACGACACTTCTGTCGCAGGTTTGCTCGCTGTTGAGCACCATTCAGTCGCCGAACGAACACTGCAAACATGGTGACTGCTTCTGCTGCTACTCATGCTACTAACACTACTACCAATGCAATTCCCTGCCACCACCAGCACCAGCACTGTGACGACGACGATCAGTACTACTACCACACCTGCTGCTGCTACTGCTACTCCTAATGCCACCGGTGCTACTGCTTCGGCTGCTGCTGCTACTGCCATGGCTACTGCCTCTCGTTCTGTGCTACTACTACTATAATGATACAGCTACTTGTACGGTCTTTCTCTTAGAATCTCTTAGAATGAAGAGCCACGACTTCGAATATAAACTACAGTAACTACAGCGGACTTCAAGCTGGGCATGTGGGTCGGTGTCTGCCTTAGAGCCCTTAGGGCTCAGGCTGGCTGAAGCTGGTCCTTCTTCGGATTCTCACCAGCCCGCATGATTCGCTCCGTTGAGTCCAGGCAAGGGGCATTGTGTACATGATGACTCCGCAGCTCCAAANNCCTGGGGTGCCACCTGACATCTCCAATCACGATGCATGATTGAAAGGCCCTGCTATCATTGCAACGGGTGGCGATGCGCAGGCCCAGTTTTGTTGCTGCCCGGCCACGTAGTAAGGAGTGCCTGCTTTCGTGGCCATGGG